CTCATCAGGCCTCACAGCTGACTGCTTCATGCAGGAGGTTGGCCAAGAGCTCTCCCAAGGTCCTTTATAAGCTGAACTGCCACACGAACTCAGTCTGATTCAGGATGCAACAATTTTGACAGGTACTACAAGAAGAACTTTCTGAATTGTACTCAACACAATTCTGCCTCTTCCACCTCTGAAAGGGATGATGACCTGTAGGTCAGACTGACACAGCAGATCCCTAAAACTTTCTTAATCCAATGGTAAAACATAACTCAGCCAGAGACTTGACAACACTGGCAGCTGGCTCACACTACTGCTCCTGCTGGTGACAACTGCAGAAACATGTGCAGATGTCGACAGGCTGGGCTGTGGGGGATCATAAATTAAACCAAAAGGGGCAACTGAAAATTACCAAATCCTGAACACACTTCAGAAGAAAACCCTCGTCTTGTCCAGGGTCCCTGCCAAAGGTACAGATCAACTCAAAATTATAATTAAAAAAATAAATGCACAAAGGGAGTAATTTTAATAGAATGTGTAAATAACTCCTCAAACTCAGTGACATGATTCACTCCTCCTGAAATAAGTGGGTTTGCAATTATATCCCACACTAGAGGCTTTTCTAAAAATACAAAAAGTTACACAAAAAAGTGAGTATGCTTTTCCTAGCCATTCCCTCACCACAGTTGTAATACAAGGATCAGATCTGGACTGCAACCAGTATTTCATTCAGTCTTGTAGCTTCATTGCTACCTCTTTTAAATGCTTTGGCTCATATAAACATCTCTTCACTGTTTGTAAGGGATACCACATTCTTAGCACTATCACATTACCAAAAGTAAAATGATAAGGAAAGAATCTTTTAAAATATTGAGAAGAACTTTTGAAATGATTATTTATAATTTTCTTTTCAGCACAATTTAAGTGGTTACCATAGCTGGAATGAAGTACAGTGCACTGCCAGGAATTTCAGAAAAGACCCCTCCACCCCAGGAAAAGTTCAGTTGCATTCTGCTTTAAAGGCTTCTGGCAAGCTTGTACTATTGTTTTTGTACAAACACAAGTAAGTTTGATACAAATAAAAAATGGAACTTTATGTGAATGAAGCAAACATCAAATTCCCTAATCTTCAAAAGAAACTGTATCCCTGAATAATTAACTATGATATATTTATAAAACTAGAATAATTGAAAACAGAATTCTAAGTTGATTCATGTGGACTGCGCTGAAATATTTATTATTGCAAGTCCACAAGATCTGTCTGGGTTTTGTCACTGGAAATGTCTAAACTCAGTGTCCAGATGTTTATTTAAGTTGCTCCCACATAGTTCTAATGTCAATTACCAGGGGTTATCAGAGAGCATCACTGTGTATCTTCCTTGACTAATATTCTCATTTCTTCTGCATCTTTGATGTTTTCTTTCATTAAAATTCCTGGCTCACAGCCACAAAAATCTGCCGTGCAGGCAAAAAAACTGGTCTGCAGACATGACACATGATGATGCCCAATGTCTGTGCAAGGATAATATTTATCATCAGCTATCATTTAAGCAGTTCTATAATCAGTACAATGCCAGCTTAAAGCAGTTCAGAGAAATACATGAGTATTTTTCTGAATACTCAGGGAATAAGAATTTCTCTGAACTCTCAGGGAATAAGAATTTCTAACCAATAAGAAATAACTTGGGTCAGTAAAAAAATATTATCACATAAAATGAAGATTTCGTGAATCTGTGTGGCTTGAGGTTTTTTCCTCATAAGGGAAAAGCCAGGGGAAAGCCAATGACAAAGTAATTTCACACATAATTACAAATGGAATTGATGGATCTGTAACTCTGGAAACCAGAATTACATCAAGACTTTTATAGTAACCAGGAGAGAACACAGACCAGTCATAACAGTGACTTAAACAGAGAGAGCTTATCACAGAGTCTCTGAAGATTTCATACATTCAAATGCAAACAGCTAGATAACACAGCTCATTTTTATATATATTATCTGTTACCCAAAATCAGGCAGTTCATTTTATTGTAGGCGAATTCTGGAAGATTACTTTTAAGGATTTGTAAGAAAAAAAGAAGAAAATCAATGTTAATTCAATATAAGTGGAAGTAGAGCTATAAGATGGCTGGAGAAAATGGTACCAATGCCATTTCCTGTTTTCATGATAGTACCCAGGTACTAAGCCTGGGTTCCTCCCTTGGTGAGGAGTTTTAGTTCTCACTGATCAGGCACTTTGAAACTTCAATGGAAAATTGCCTAAAGGACTTGGAAATGCAAATCTCACTATGTAATTTACTCTCCCTGCACTGTCAGTTGGGAAGTGCATCCACCTACCAGCCAAAGCCCTGACAGCTGAGCATTCAGCCTTGCTGAGAGTCATTCTCCCTCACCAAGATCTTCCACAAATGGTGTCACTGCACCTCCAGATTCAGTTGGAATTCTGTGTATGCAGAACAAAATCCCATGGCTTCTCACAGAATCACAGGTTCTATCACAGTACCTATCACTGCAGCAGCAACTGAAATTTCTATTCACAAGTGTACAAAGAATATCTCCTATCAAGTGCTCAGCTTCAGACTCAGCAAACCTTGGGCTCCAACTCTTGCCACATTATACCACTATCTTGATCTAATAAGCAAGTACATTAATACCAGCTGTGTGGAGAGAGGGAGGAAATATGAATATGTTCATTAAGCATTATGGCTCCACTTATCTCCCTTATGACTTCAGTGGAGATCTGCCAATTCATGCATGACACAATTATGGTCCCCAGTATCAAACCTGAAAGAAAAGCAATGAGGGTGTCACTACAAATTCTTACAAATTTTCCTATCAAGAAATCTCTCTTACACTTACTGCTGCAGGACACATTCACTCACATTTGGGTGATTAGAAGTGAAATGCTTAGTTCAATGATTCTAGCAAGTTGAAAATCAATTTGCTTCCCACACACATTTCACTGTGCTCATTTATGTCCCCTCACATCCAGCAAGTTGTTCACAACTCTTTATTCACAAATTCCCTTGCACGCAGAGATTAAACAAAACACAGAGGCAATATCCCAGTTCAACAGAGCACTTGCACATAAATGTTCCTAGAGGAATCAAGCTTTGACTTCAGTACTACAATGGAGATTTCACGCTTCACCAAATCAAGGGCCAATTTAATAAAATCTTAACAATCAAATGATCACAACAGCTGCCTTGAACACGAGATGACTAAATGCCTCTAAAGCTTTGCATATATAATAATAATTACAGTTTGTATTAGGAGTCAAATGGAGTTAAGTATCCATATCCCATGGAAAGTCAATGTGATTGTAAAATGTTTCAGCTACAGTCAGCTAACATCTGCCTGCCACAGTGGCAGCAGTGACATAGCACTGAGAATAAAATACAATCATTAGCTGACTGGGAAAGGAAAAATAAAGGTTGTTTTCACACAGCTGCCTTTTCCACTTCCCTTGCCCTCCCAGAATGTGGGAGTTCACAACCTGAAACCAAACATTAGGAAACCAGGAAATCTCAGTGGTGATTCTCCACACATACCATCCTAAAAGCGGTGGCTAACCACAAGCTAAGGGAAATTACAGGTCATTTAGCACCTCCCTGGAACAAGGCCACACCATGCAAGACCTACTCCCTGAAAAATCTGTCCTTACAAAATACTCTGGAGAAGTTATGCTTCCTTCTTATACTGCTCTGAAAAGGAATCAAGGCTGGCAAAGCTGAGAAAAGCCACCTTTCCCTACAGCAGAGTGCAGAGGGTACGGCACAGCTTCTTCCAACACAGGACTCCCATTTCTTGTGCCCTTTATGCCATTCATTTGCTATAAAAGGCCAGTTGCAATTCCCCTGGCCCAAGTACACTCCTTGCAGGCACTAACTTGCTAAAAGCAGAACAGGAGCCAGACACCACCCAAATTGTGCCCAAAATGTTCTGAACTGGGTCCCACTACAGATGATTTTCACTGGTAAACCCCAGCCTGGTACATGACTGAGATTACAGTCAGCCTCCTGGAGCCAGGGAGTTGGCTCTGCAGTGGAGCTGCACAAAGCAACCAGCCAGCCAGCCCCACACCTACAGTTCAGGCTGCTCAGGTCCCACCTCCTGCACGAGGCTGCTAAAGGCTGCCAGCTGGTGGTGGTCTGGGATACGGGAATTGTCTGCGAGTTCCAGGCAGAAACCCCTAAACTACTGCCTGGGGATGCTCGTGGAGCATGATCAGCTTTTGCCAGGGCTTCCCACTAAAATTCTGATTCATCAGTCTGTAGTGTCTGGATATTCTTTTACCTGACTCCTGATCCTGTGTCCCTCTGGCAGGTTCAGAAATTCCACAGCACAGAGCCATGGTTTCCAAATTCTCTCAGTTTGCAGGCCCCATTTCCTCCACACAGGAGCATGCAGCTTACTGTCACCAACTTTTTTGGAAAAACTACTTACATGTAGTCCACAAGCCATCAGACAGGAAGCTTCTAACAAGAGTCTAAAAACCAGGAAAAGCTTATGTCTTTTCTACTCTTAGTTACTCTTACAGTCCTCAAAAAATAATTCAGTACAACAGCTAAATCCTCTAGATCATGCAACCACCACAGCTGGCAAACCAGATTGCACATTCTTTCCCTCAGGAAGGTGAAGTTGCAAACAGAAACTCTATTACAGTGTTTTTCTTCTGTGCAGTTTGGGAATCAGGTACTCCCAGCAACACAAAAATCAAGGGACTGCAGGTGCTGCTGCTCAGATACTGCCTCACATGCTAAAGCTCTCTGGCTCACAGGACACCAGCTAAGCTCTGTCTCTGTGCCATCTCTCAGACCTGCATGATGGGCCACCTTCAGGTCTTAAGAGTCTTTTCTTACCCATTGCATTCCCAAAAGTTTTCTTTCTCTATATAGCAATTTATTTCCTTACTCCATCTCCAGTGCTTTCCTTGTGAAGTACTGAAGAAAAAGAGTTCCAATTTTCCTCTAAATTTTACATGGCCAAGACAAAACATTATTCACAAGAGGAACTTCAGAAACATACTATCAATTCTTTATTTTTACTGTGTTGACAGCCCATTCCAATATAACAGTCCACTCCCAAAACAGGGAACAATCCTCTCAACTCTCAATATACATATTGAAATGTTCTGGAACTGCAGAACAGCAAAATACACAACAGCAACACCATACTTGATCAGAAACTTACTTCAGCATGACCAAACCATTCCTTTGTCCTTTTATTATCCAACAAATCATTCCATGATCCTCTTAATCGCTAACCTTTTACAAACTTCCAGATTGCACATCCTCCTTAACATGGGACTCTATACCTGACTCTGCATTCTTATCATTCACAGAATCTTAATTCAAAGTGCATACCTGTGCTCAGAACCAGCTTCCCAGAAAAGCTTCCAGGTTTTGCAGTAGTAAAAAATTTTTAATAACTTAAAATCCACATCAAGCTTGGCTCTGTATTCACACAGCCCACTCTTCCACAAAGACTCCCCAACTCTGTGCTGAGCAGCTGCTAATTGTTTAACAAATACATAATGCACTTCACCTGTCACCACAGTGATTTACACCCACACACCCCCCCCCTTAAAGGTGAAGTTTGCCCATTCAAGGGATCACTTTGGCAAAGGCCCAACATGCTGACTATTATCAAAATAAAGACCAAGAAAACTGCCTCTGCTTCACAAAATTTAGAGAGCAAAAATAAGTGCTAACAGTGCAAGGAAAGCTCAGTTTTTGTTAGGGAAAGGGATGGTCAGCAGAAGCCTAGGCTGAGATAGATTTCAGTACTCCAGAAAACAGATCCCTACTGTGCAGCTTTGTGTGGATTCCTTTAGCACAGAAAAGCCAACATGGAGAAAATACACACAGCACCTTAAAAGGTGTGACAGCACAGCCAGTACAGGGACAAGGGTGATGATCCTGGGAAGGGGAAGAGATGCAAATGGCCTGGAAGTGGCAACCTGTGCTTCATGCAACAGCAAAGGGAAAGCCAATACACTCCTGAGGCTTGTCCTTAAGCAGCACAGACTGCAGTGGGGAGAGGGATGATGACAAGATGCAGCTGGACAAGCAGGTGACCTGAGAGACGAGCAGCATCCACAAGACAGGAGCACTCCTCTGGCCTGTGTTCTGGCTGAACAGAAATAGATACAACTGAGGATCAGCTGGGTCATCAGCATGGATGCTGAAGGATGGTTGTGAATGACTGACAACATGCCAAGAATTGTGCTGACAAAAGCAAGTGATGGTGAGAAGAAGGAGCACAGAAAAGAGAGAAGGGAAAAAAAAAACCAAACCAGGAAAAGGTGGTAAAAAGGACAGAAGGCCTGGAAGGGTCAAACACATGCAGAGTCTGAAACCAAAATGGGAAATAAGAAAGGAAAGCCCCAGTAGGAAGGCAGCTGTGGCAAAAAGTCAAAGACATTCAGGCCTCTGTGGGATATTCAAGGGACTGAGATGAGTGGGAAGTGCCCAGGTGCACAGCTGGTATTTAGATGGAGTTCCAGAAAGCAAGGTAAGATAGCAGTGGCAGGAGGATCCATGACACAGGGCAGGAGTTAAATGCAGACACAGGCAACAATGTCATATGAAAGGGAATGGGTGGTGCAGGGATGCAGAGTATGAATTTGGCTTAGTGACAGGAGGTTAAATCTAATAAGAAAAAGGGAAGAGCAGCTGATGAGAAGCCAACGAACAATGACAACACAAAGGCTGTGAGAGGAAAGGGTACAGGAAAGAACCACAGAAGACCTAGTCAAAAAATACCACTTATTAGCACAGCAGCAGTTCCACCTGTCAAACTGCAGTGCCAGGGTGTGGACTGTGCCACAGGGACTGCCTGGGAGAGCTCGTGGAGCATTTGGGAGAGAGTTACTGCCTGTTACTGAAGTGCTGTATGCACTCAAGAAGTGGCAGAGACCCTCCTCCCCCAGTTCTAGATAATATCATGCAGCTTTTTGAATGACCTGCAGCTGGAACACCTTTGATTTCCAGAGACACCATTCCTGCAGCAATATGTACACATCCAGGGACAGCCCTGCACATGAGTTGCTGCAACATCTTGGAAAACAGGTGTTGACAAACTACACAAGGAATCTCTGAGGTTTGCTTTTTAGAACCGAACCCAAACTAGGCTTGGAATATCCTAGTCAACGTGGAACATCATTGTAAGATACTTCTCAGGAGTGTTCCTGATCTTTCAAAAATTCGTATTAAAATGCAGAAAATGTAATTGTAAGGAAGATTGGTATTTATCTTCAAAGAACAGCTACAACTTAAAATAGACAGAACACTTTCTCCCAGAAAACCAGAGGGTGGATCTCTTCATTTACATTATGGAAAAATAGTATTTCAAAGTATGAAAGCAGTGTACAAAAATAAGGAAAAACTTCAACATCTTTAATAAAAATATTAAAGTCTTCAGATTAACTTGATCTCTTGATGTGCTTTGTCATGATAAACAAAAATAAAACAGCAGAGTCCCTTAAAGCCCAAACAGAATTTGAGTTACAAAATAACTTGGAATTCTTAGCTATTTACAACATAAGGGCAGAAAGTGTTATTTTAAGGTGCAGGCAGAGAAACAAGTTCTTGTGTGATAAGAAGCTGACTTACAGCCTAAGGATCGTGGATTTATTGTAGCTGTCTGGGTATGTATTTTTACTACAAGGTAAAAGCAAGAGAATATTAAAAGAAGTATCTCCCATTTGTACAAGACAAGAGCTTTCATATGTGTGAGCAGTTCACAGGCACCTTAGCTTACTTTATGGACAAGTAACCTTAGCTTACTTTATGCCCCAAGTGCTGCAAAAACAGTTCCCAAATAGCACTCAGGTTACCACTTAGTCACATGTATATTTATGAGGTTTACACTGAACCCTTCCTGTAGCTGTAATGTGAAAATTTTAAGAAAAAAATGATTAGATCAAGCATTCTCAATATTCAGGTTTGGGTTTTAAGAAGTACTGCACAAAGATCAGTTACATGGCGTATCCTCAGACATCCCTTCTTGAATTCAGTCCTCTGCCGAAAAATAATCTTCATCCCTCACTTCTCTGTACTGCATTGAGGCCTCTCCCTCTGGTTCAAACCTGAGCATTTTTATATTCAGTCTCTCTGCAAGCTTCTGTGCTGCCAGCTTGGCTTGCATTTCCTGCATAAGAAAAAAAAAAGGACACAAGTTAGAAAAAGTGTTCATCTGTCATTGTCACAGAAAAATTAATATATTAAAGCATAAATATCATCATCAGCATAAACATCATAATATCAGCAATTCCAGAGTGGGTTTAATTAAAAGTTTTAGTAACTAGCAAAGAAATTTCAGGTTTCTTTTCACACTTATACATAACTGTGCTATTATGTATTATTGAAGACCCTTTTATAAGAGTTAAGATTCCCCATGTGGCAGCCCTCACCTTTGATACGCTAATGTCAGTTTTTACAGAACAAAATCAGTTCACATAAGAGAGCAACTGTACACAGTAAACATGTAGCAAAAGCAATGCTGGTCTTTCAGCAACCTCAGCAAAGAACGTCTCCATTTTCCAAATAAATTGCCTCCCTTAAAGATGATGAAAGTAGCAAGTGCTTTTAAAACAATTAGCAGCAACAAACACTTTCACAATAGTGTCTAATTTAAACATTAGCTTGACACTAACTAGAAAGTCAAAATCCATTACAACAGCATTTGAAGAACCTCAGAACTTGGATTCTTCAGACATAGCATAAATAAAGGCAAACTCAGATACTTGCATGTTATAAGAATAACAAATACTGCTAGGCCTTCATTTATGCAAGGGCAAAAAACTCTTTAAAGACTAATAGGCAAGGTATACATTTAATTTCTAGTCAGAGGTGAAATAAGTGCAGTAAGCTTAGCATATCAACACACAAAGATTTTGTCTAACGTAGGAATAACAGTTTCAGAAGGCATTAATAAATTCTTTAATTATATCATTAAAAGAAAAAATACAAGACAAAGTGCCTTTCCTCAAAGTCTGCCCATCTCAATTCATCATCATCAAAAGATCCCTTTATCTTTTCTTTTTTAGGAGTGATCCTGATGCTATGATTACTTTTCAGACCAAACAGTAAATTCAGACCTCATAAGCTTCTTTTTGCTGTATCTGAATTGCTATGGATTCCTCTATGGGTAAGAGCTTAGCAGGGGAGTGGTGAAGTGGTGGCAGTCGAGCTGCTGTGATATCATCCAAATGTTTCTTATCTCTGAGTCGTCTTTCTTCAGCAGAAATTGGAGAGCCAAGTCCCCCAGGGGATCGACTGGATGAGGAACCAAGAGATGACCCACTGTGCTCTCCTGATAATCTGGAAGACATAAATCACCTAAGTTGTGACCCAAACTTGCAGCACAAGGTTGAACACCTTCAGTTCCAACGCTTATTTTTAACGTGCAAGAGTTGAAAAGAAATATGAAGTACTATGAAAACATACACAAATGAAAAACAAGCAGCACTCAGAAAAACTACAACTGTTTCTCTGCAGAGAGACAATAACACAATTTACACCTGGCAGTGAACAAACCAGGTATGGCAATTTATTAGCAAGCTGAAGTAGCAATGCTTTGGGAGTCACATGAAGTACAAATTGCTCCCAGTACAGACAATGTGAACTGTAACTTCCCTAGAAGTGTAGGAAAAGCAAAAGACTTCCTGCTATTAAAGTCTACACATTCTAGAATTGATATACAGGAGTTTTGCCAATTGTTTCATAGTTCTGCAGCTTAGGCTATGAAATTCTGTGAAGGTTCATGACAGTTGTTTCAAATGGGTAGAATTAGGCCACTGCTCAATACTGAGATTCTGTGGCACTTAATGCTAAAGAGAAACATATTAACTCTCTGTGTCATGAGACTCTCTTTAATTATGACTAGAAAATAAAGCCATCATGCTTATTCTGTACCATTTCCAATTTTATACACATTAATTATCTCACAAAAGGTTTTTCTATCCCATAATACTTACGCATTTGTTTTAAATTTGCTTTTCTTTATGACTGGGTTCTTGGCTCGAGCCTCCAGAACTTCAATGTAATGTGGTGTCTTGGGATACAGGCTTCCAAACACATTGCCCTTATGTTTTGCCACATTCTGCCCTTTTTCCAATATTTTTTCACTGTTATCTCCATCTACAATTGTGATTTTTTGAAAGGCATCAACCAGAGTGTCTTTGCTGTCATTCAAAGTAGCTGCACTTTCTGTACCATTCTCAGTACTGCTCTGAGAGATGTGTTGATCATTTTTCAGATGACTGCTCGTGGCTGACGTGGAGACAACTTCAACAGAATGACTCTGATCTTTTCTAACAGTCTTTACTTCATCATTTTTCCTCTGAGTCCTTTGATTTTCCAAAGCTGTGCTTGTGGCATCTTCCTCAATACATTCTGCCTCCTGCCTTTTGGAAGGAATCTCAGAAATTTCTTTAATATTAGAGTTTTCATTAAAGTCTGATGAATCTTCACAGTTCAGTGCATCTTTGTTTTCCTGTTTGCTTGTATTAATTTCCTCCTGTTTTGCCTGAAACTCCAACCTGACAGCAGATAGCAGCTCAGCAGTCCTGGCTAGTTCCTCCTCTTGCAAAATGGCAAGCTTCAGCTTTTCAGCAAAATCAGAGATCTTCTTACCCTTATCTGGAAGCCTAGAAATGAACCTCCTAAGACCAAAAAAAAAA